CATCCTCCCACTAAGCAAACGCGCGCGGCATTTCCTGCATCCCAGGGAACAAACACAGCTCTGGAGCTGCCCCTTGCCCTCCAGCCCTGCCAGGCATAGAGCCAAGGCCCTGCAACACGGCAGTGTTTCTCCTCCCTCCTTGGCTTTTATTTCTATTAAGAAAAATGCACTAGAAGAGAAGAGAGAGGAAGATGTAAAAAATTATATATATTTTTATATATATGATTCATATCTATTTACAACACGTCTGGGACAGAACAGAACGTGCCGAGGGGGGTTGTGCAGACGCTGTCTGCAGCCGGGCAGGAAGGGCAGGAGAGAGACAGTGGGGAGCCCTGGTCCCGCTAATCCCAGCTTCTTTACTCTCCTCAGTGAGCGGAATCACAGGCTGGAGCCAGCACCTCGTTCCAGGCTTCCAAAGTGAACCCTCTGCCCGTGACATGGGTGCAGCGAGTGTGTCAGGGCTCAGCTCGCCTGCCCTGCACTCCCCAAAGGCAACATTTGAGCACTCGCAGCAACCCCCCAGGAAGCATCACCTCTTTTCCTGGTTGGAAAGGGGCAGGGAAGCGGCAGGAAGTGACGCCAAAAACACTYGTCATGAGAGCCACGGTCAGGGCATCACTCCCCCAAAAGCAGAGCCCACTCCTGTACTGGCACCCCAAGAGCTGCTAGCAGAGGTGGTGGGAACCCCATCCCCGCAAGCCTCTGGAAGGAGGCCCATTCGACCCCTTTGTTATTTTGTCACACCTGAAACAAAGCACACGTGGGAGGAAAAAGGAAGAGAAAAAAGGAAGAAACCCCAGGCCTGGCTACGCTGTGCGGTCACAAAGGCTCCTCTCCACTGTTCTTCCTCAGCTCCACTGCTTTCSTCCTCTCCTGCTGGATTTTCCCACCTCGCTCCCTGCAGAGCAGCTTTCCTCCCATGCATCCCAGCACAACAGGGACACGGGAGCATCCGAGGTACCGCATTGGACACGTTCACTAACACTTCCCTTCCAAAGCTCTGCACCCCACACAGCACCTGGTGTGGAGCCCCGTGTGACACCTTTTGCCTCTGCAAATCCCCGTTTGGCCCAATGAGCGCCACACAGCTGGCGCACACTTGCTGCCAATTCCAATTACTGTGGGGCATTGGGGTGACCCCAGCCCTACGGTACAGTGAAGTCCAATCAGTTTAACCAAAAGAACAAAGAAAATAGGGAGGGAGGGGAAGAAAAAAAAAAAGGCAAGAAGAAACACCTCCGGGTGCAGATTACCCCGCAAGCTTGCTGGTGACAAGTGAGGATTTCCTCTGCGGGAGGTCCTGCGGCGTGGGGATATGGTCTCCYGTCACCAAGTTCTTGTCTGGCCCCGTGCTTGGCAGCTGCTTGTTCTTCATCTTTGCCTTGGCCATGTTGTAGTCCCCGGAGTCAAAGTATTTTTGCTGGAAGAGGGAGAGTTGGGGTTACCTGGACACTCATGGCAGCACTGAGCAGCTGAGCGCCTAGCTGCAAAACCACAGTCCTCTAAGGAGGCACTGGTATCGGAGCACGAAACCGTGTTACCAACACGACAAAACCATGCAAGAGAGACCAGCCTGATTTCAAATCCCAATGCTGCACTCYCACCCCATGCACAGCTTGCTTTACGAAGGCAGTTCTTCTCGCTTGCCCCTCAGCTTAACACAACAGGGACTGAATACCGCTCGGGAGCCACCAGACACAAAGGGGCCGCCATGGCAGCGGAATCCCAGGCTGGCAGCCAACATGGTTCACCCCACTCTGTGAACAGATGAGCCTGCTGACAAAGGCAGGCATTTTCTCCCTGGAAAAGAGGCAAAGGCAGGTGCCCTTCTGATCTCAGAGCAGCTCCCAGCAGCCTAATCCTATAGGGAAATGCTGAGCGTCGCTCCCAGGCGCCTCCCTGCTCCCAGTCCACCCTACTCCTACCCACATGCGAATAGCTGGGGGACACGGTCATCCTCATGGCCACCCTGACAGCGTGGGGTGAAGCCACCCAAAGGAGGTGGCCTTGAGAGACACCACGCGCAGACGCCGCTTGGGAAGTGCTTCCCTTCTCCACACCAGCCCTCCTGGCCCAGTCCAGAGCCAAAGCAGCGGACACCACCACGTGACTCAACAGCGTTTCCCGCACACGACTCCCAATCTGCTGCTCCAAAGGGCTCTCCTGGCCCAGGAAATCACAGAGCGAATCCTCCAGGCTGCCTGGCCCTGCGCCATCAAGCTAGAGAGGCAGACACAGCTGACATGCCCGAGGAACTCTGGGGAGATAAATACCCCTTTCTGCAGCCTCTTCATGAGAAAGTCAGACCCGCCAGGCCGCTGGCCAAGGTTGGGGTATTTGGCCTTCAGCTTCGCCTCTTCCGCTCGCTCCGGGGCCACGGCTTCCTTCTCCTGCGTGTCCTGGAAGACGAGAGGGGCTCAGACTCCAGTGGCAGCGCCTGCGCCGTGCGCAGGGCCGTAGGTGGACGCGAGGCTGCGCCCAAGGGAAACGCTCCCGACAGCCTGGGAAGTTGTTCCCGGGGCTCCTGATCGGGACTCTGCAGCCGAGAAGGGAAGGGGGCGCCTTGGGCTGCAGAGCAGCCACGGGATTACTGCTCGTCACTTCATGCCACGACAGGACGCAGCGACACCGAGGAGCGTTATCGAGGGAACCCAACCCTCCCCTTCCCTTCCCGCTCCCCCCTCGCCCCCCATCCCCTAAGCGCCCCTCCTTCCGCCCCCGGCACCTCCACACCCCAACATCCATCCATCCCTCCCTTCCTCCCTACGTGCCCTATCAACAAGCCCTGCCGGAAGTCCAGCCCTCACGAGGCGGCAAGCCAATGGGAGCGCGGTATTCAGCGCCACCATGAGCATGACGGCGAATCAGCGCACGCCGCGGTCCGGTGTGACGGGGCTCGGGGCCAATGACAGCGCGGGCATGCTTGGCCTGTGCGCAGCGCCTCACCTGCTTTTCGTCGCCGGTGTCGTCGGCCTGGGCGGCGGTGCCGAGAGGGGCCGCCATGGCGGCGAGTGAGCCCTGCTCTCTGCGCGCCGCCGCTCCCCTCTGCTGTGCAGCCAAAATGGCCGTCGCCTCCCCCCTAGCGTGTCTGCTCGCTGACGAGCAGGCGTGCGGCCCAATGGAAGCAGGGAGGAGGCTGGGGTGACATCACGGCTGGCCAATCAGCGCGCAGGAGAGGCGGGAAGAGGGGAGGCGGTGGAGGGCGCCGCTGCCACGGACCAATGGAGAACGAGATGGGAGTGCGGGGCAGGAGAGAAGAGCCCTGGGTCTGATTAACGTCAAGTGCCGCCAATAGGCAGCGAGAATGCGCCCGGGCAGCCCAATGGAAGAGCGAGGGGCGGTGCCGCCCTGACCGCTGTGGGAGCCGAGACGGGGTCGCCCCCTGGCGGGCGGGGCCCCGAGGGCTCCCAGCCGCATCGGCCCTTGGTTCACTCTGGAGCCTACTAATGGTTCCTACCTTCACACACCAACTCACCCCTCAGACTTGCCCTCACCTCTGGGCCCCACCAGGGCCCTCAGGAGGCAGCCCCCACCCCCTGCAGCTGGATAAAACCCCTTCCATTCCTACCCTTGTGGCCTCCCCAGGAGAGGGCATAGCAGCCCTCTGCTAGGCACCCCTTCGCTCTAGAGCCTACTGATAACCAGAAGAGACCCAGCGAGCCTCGCCCCAACCAGGAGCCGAGGAGGGGCAAGCAGGGGGTGTCTCCATGGAGTCTGGGGGCAGCCTGGGGCCGTGGGGGCACAGAAGCTGCCACCACCCCAGAGAGCTGCAAAGTCACAGTCACCTGCAAAACCTTTTTATTACAAAAGCAGTTGGAGCCACCCTGGCTCCAGAGGGTGGAGGTCACTCCCAACAGCAGCCCGGGCAGGGACGGTTGCGGGGGAAGCAGAGAAAGGAAGGGAGGAGAAGAAAGAAAAAAAAAAAAAAAAAAAAAAAAAGAGGATTTAAAAAAAAAA